TAAAGTGGACTCAATTTGCACTAATTCTGGCAGTCTGCAAAGGCCTTAGTTTCCAGATTTCAGGCTTGATCTGTTCTAGGATCTATTTGTTTGTCTTTTTGGCTGTCCATGGTATCCTCATCACTCTTCTCCAGCACCACATCTCAAATGAATTGATTTTCCTCCTATCTGCTTTCCTCACTGCCCAGCTCTCACAATCATACATGGCAATAGGGAAAACAATGGCTTGTACAATTCTAACTTTCATGATCAGTTGTTTATCTTTACATTTTAGAAACTTTTCAGATTCTTTCATAGATCTCCTCTCTATTCCTAGTCTTGTTATTTCTTGATTGTAGTCCTCATTCTTATCAGTGTTTGACCCAAGGTATGGGAACTCTTTGCCTGCCTTTGCACTTTCTTCTTTGATCTTTCTTTCATTATTCCAGGTCTGCAATATTTTCTGCTAGTATTATGGTGTTGTCTGCATATCTCAGATCATTGATATCTTTCCTCCTCTCTTCACTCCTTCTTGTTCTGTATCCAAGCCTGCTCTTTGTATGATACTTTCTGCATACAAGTTGAACAGATAGGGTGAAAGAGTGCAACCGTGCCTGACCCGTTTGCTATTGGGAACCATTCGGTTTCTCCATATTCTGTTCTAACAGTAGCCTCTTGTCTAAGTACAGATTTCTCGTCAGGACTATCAGATGTGTTTTCTCTTATCTCTCCTTATTACCTATGAGCAGCCCATCAACGACAACCACTTAATTTCCTTTTCAAAACACCAACCCATCTATTATTATACAGTAGTGATTTATTTAAGTCTGTTATTCCAAGTCTCAAGTTTCTATCGTCAAGTCTCAAGTCCTTGCAAGCTACTTTCAAATCAAGTCACAAGTTAAGTCTCAAGACAGAGAGCTAATTTTAACAGAAAAAAAGGAGGTGGTGTGTGTGTGTGTGTGTGGTTTCAGTAACTAGAAAATAAAGATGCGCCCAAGGCTGGAAGATATGAGTAGGAGGGTAGGCTGGCTCCTTCCACAATTCCCCCCCCCCCCAGGAACAGCAGAAAACACCACCACCCCAGAGCTTGGGATGCATTTGTTCCTCAAACAAGAAAAGGACAGAAAACCTGTTAAGCAATAGAGTGCTTGAAGTGGATGAATGAGCTCTTTAAGGCTAGTTTTCAAGGCTCCTCCAATATGAAGTAAAGACGGTGCCATAGACCTTAAGCAGCCCCAAGCCCCAGGGGCAAGTCTTGTCTGCTGCTGTTCCTAGGACAAAATAACTTTAAAAGGATCCAGCCTAAAATCCTATTTGTAGTGAGGAAAAGCTGCAGAGCAGACTTCAATGTGGCTTCCAAAACCAGGAATATCAAGTCAGGAACTAAAAAGAAATAAAAATTACAAGTCAAGTTATGTGCATCATTTATGTAAAGTTGAGTACAAGTTGAGATATTGAAGGGACTTGAGTCCATCTTGAGACCAAGTCACTCCACTCAAGTCTACATCACTGTTAGACAGGCAAGCATTTAATAAAATTCAATTCATGAGGATTTTACATGGCACCTTTCTAAACAAGTTGATGATTTGATGCTACTAGTCACAGACTGGCTATATCCACAGCAAGAATGAACTTATGGGTACTCCATGATTTCTCTATATGCACAGCACTTGGTCAATATTGATAAGACCAGGAAAGAATTATAGTGCCAAGTCAAACTTCAAGTGGTTTGAACACTTTGCACCATGAAATTATTATAACTCCAGAACCATGTTTTGATCCAGATCTATCAAATTTTAGTAGCAAAGGTTTTTCCTGTCCTCAAAACTTTGGCATATATATAGGGTATCCTAAAATTATGTTTACAAAATTTTGGACACCTTGTAGCTAATGAGGATCCTCGCACCACCAAAAAAATATCTGGTTAGGTTGTGGAATTTAGTGAACACTGAGGTTGCATCTATACTGTTGAAGTAATACAGTTTGACACCACTTTAAAGTGTTGTAGCTCCATCAGATGGAATGCTGGTATTTGCAATTTTACATGCTCTCTAGCCTTCTCTGCCAAAGAGTGCTGGTGCCTTACAAAACTAGAAATCCCAGGATTCTGTAGGATGAGGACATGGCAGTTAAAGTGATGTTAAACTGCATTATTTCTATAGTGTAGAGGCATCCTGAGTGAGCACGTGTCAAGTTGATCAAAGAGATGAATTTGTTCAAATTCTCCATAACACTGATGCCATAACATGTATGTTTCCTCTTCAAATTATGTGTCATAACCAGTTTTGAATCCCCATAACCGTGTTTCCTATCCATGTTGTTTGTCAGAATGCAAGTGGAGGTTTAAATCACATATATGTATCCACCTTGTGTTGAGAGCTGATAGATTTATCATAAAGATTGCTGTTTTAAGCAACACTGAAAATTCCATGTTCTCCACCTTTCCCTCTAAGTTTCTAGTAGCTTCTGTGGCTTGCACTGCAAGATACCACATTCATTCAGTCCTCTGTTATCTGACAGAAAGATTCATCTGGTTAAATCATGTTAACAATACAGTCCTAACTCAAAGATGTGCTGGCTTGAGGCATTAGGATTCTATCAATGGAACTACCCTTCTTGTTTAAACCTTTTCTACCAGTTCAGAAATCTGCTGATGGAACAATCTATCTTCTGGGCATTTTCAGCTGAGAAAAATGCCCTGTTGGCTGAGATCTGTCATACAGAAGAGCAAGGGCAGGACAAAGGAGGAATTTATGTAACCCAGATCTAAATTCCTTCAGTCCAGAGACAACAACAGTACTGACCTGGCACAAAATAAGGCAAGTGGTGTAGATGTTGTGTGCCTTCAAGTTATTTCCAACTTATGATTACACTAAGGCTAACCTATCATGGCATTTTCTTGGCAAGATTTCTTCAGAGGGAGTTTGCCTTTGCCTTCCACTGAGTCTAAGGACGTTATCACATGGGGGCAAATCTGCTGGTTAATCCACACAAATCCCAAACAGAAAGTGGATTTGTGCCCCGCATTTTCACACGACGTCGCACAGAAACTGGACAGAAAGTAGACAGAAACTGGTGTTAACCGAGATCTTTTGAAATTCGGTTGTTTGGAGGAAATGCAAATGCGAAATTACCTTAATTCAATTCAAATTGAATTCAATCCAAATACCTTAATTTTGCATTTACCGTAATGTGAAAAGCAAATGCGCATTTGGGAGCATTTCCCTGCTTTTCCCATGGTTCCAGCGAGCATTCTTCCATCTGCACATGTGCAAGAAGATCATTTCTAGTACATTTACGGGCTTTTCTCACTTGTGTGTGAACGTTAAATGCGCTTACTCTAATTTTGCAATTAAGGTAATTAAGTGTGAAAGCCATTTGCGGAATCAAGGTTTATTTTCCATTTATTTTCGGAATGCCTCATTTCCACTTTATTATCACTTTTTGGCCCACGTGTGATAACGTCCTAAGAAAGTGTGACTTGTCAACCTAGTGGATTTCCATGGCCAAGCTGGGATTTGAACCCTGGTCTCCAGAGTTGTAGTCCAGGATTAAAACCACTGCTCCATACCTCCTCTCATTAGAAGAAAAACAGGCCTACATAATTTCTAATATCCCCAGGCTGGGAGTGGTTTGGATTTAGCACAGCTTCAGCTGGCAAAGTGTCAACTCTGCTGGCCATATTATTGTGTTCTAAGTAGTTAGTTACACCTCTCCTGTTTTTCACTTTGGGCAATAAGTCTTTAATTTATTCAAGTCTCACTGATTTCTGTGGGAACTAAATGTAAATAAGTCAGGATCCAGCCCACTGAAACCCTTTGGGGTATTTTGAGTTGGCACTGAACTATGTGATTTATGGATTGCCGGCTTGGATAATGAGTGTGGTAATGTATTAATGTATTATATTTGAAACATTAATTTTATCACTGCATCCTACAACTGAATGCCTGTTCAGACTGTACCTACAATTACTTTGCACCAAGATGAGTCATCTTCCCTCATACACATAGACTGTCTAGAAGAGTTTCATAAAACATCTCTGTAGAATTGTTCACAAGGCCATTGTGACTGTCTTTATTCCAGCACTGACATTTAGTAAGTAGTAACCACAGTTACATTCTGAAAGTTACTTCACTTAATGAACATAGATAGTATCAAAGCACAAAAAGACTCTGGATGAGGAAAGGTCATATAAATTAACTCCTGAAACATGAAGTAATGTGATCATTTTGTTTAAACCTTTACATCATTTATAATTAAGGGAAGCTGCAAAGGTCACACAGTTCACTAAACACAACTATTTTATATGCCAATGTTTTTTTTTTTTTAAAAAAGCTCTGGTTAAAACATTTAATCCTGTCTCATTAAAGTCTCATCCTTTTCTCACTGTAGCTGCAGGCTTTTTGTGTGAAAGTCATGACAATCCCAAAGTTGCACTGGTAGGTTTAAGTGCATTTATATGTCTTCCCATATTATCAGGGAAGAGCATCAGGTGACTTAATTCAGGTTCCTGGCTATATCTACTCTTATTTGTCTGTTTTGTATGGATGATAATAACTGATTACCTCTATGAGAGTCTTAATTATCAGTTAGTGGTACAATTCAAAGATATAGCCATGTTAGTCTGTAGAATCAGTATGTAGAGAGATCTTGTAGCACCTTGGAGAGATTTCGTAGACTTCAGTCTGCTTCCTCAGATGCATTTGGTGGAGTGGAAGCCAGGCACACACATATATATGCCACTGTATGTGAGGAATTCAATTCAAATTACAAATCTTTTGTGTATGGAAATGAAGTTGCAGGTCCAGTTTTAACAAAGGTTGTTAATACACAGAGGCATAGGAAACTGATCTTTGTGCATGGAGATGAACTGACAGATCCAGTTTTGCAATGGGACTAGCCTGCGGTGAGGAAAATAGATGAATGTGGGACACCCCCATGAGGATGGGGTCAGATAGTGTTGAAGTGTCTGTAATGAGTCAGGAAACCATTGTCTTTGTTCAATCCATTGCAGAGGAACTGTAATTTGTAGATGAATTCCAATTCTGCTGTTTCTCTTTCCAATCTACCTTTGTAGTTCTTTTGTTGAAGGACCACTGTTCTGAAATCTGAGATGGAATGCTCAGGATAGTGAAATGTTCTGCCACCAGTTTTTGTGTGTTCCCATTCCTAATGTCTGATTTATGTCCATCTACCCTCTGCTGCAGAGACGGGCCTGTTTGCCCAGTGTTGCAACTGTCACCACATTTTATAGATTCCTGTCTAACGACCCCACAGAGGAATACCAGAAGAAATTACACAGGCTGCTCAGAGAATTTCCCATGGAGGCACAAAGCCAAATCCTTATTGACACACACCAGAAGCCCCAGTCAGGCACATTCTACCTATTTCCCAAAATATATAAACAGGGCAACCATGGATGCCCTATCGTCTCCAGCATTGGAACACTTACCGTTGGTGCCTCCAAATATATGGACAGTATCCTTAAAACATTTGCCATCAACACACCCAGCTATATGAAGGACACCACAAACTTCCTACAGAAGATACAGTCCATTCACAACCTTCCAGGAAACACCATCTTAGCCACTATGGATGTGGAATCCCTGTACACCAACATCCCATGCAAAGATGGACTACAATATAATTCCAGATGGGAACCTATCAGACCTAGCCACTAGGGTCTGCCAGTTTGTTCTGACACAGAATTACTTTGATATACCTTCAAGTTAATGGCACCACCATGGGCACACGCATGTCACCACAATATGACATTATCTTCATGGCTGACCTAGACCTCAATTCCTGCACCTAGAAACCACTCCTCTACCTGAGGTACAATGACAACATCTTCATAATTTGGACTCATAGAGAAGAGTCACTCAAGACATTCCACCAGAGTTTCAACAACTTCCACTTCACTATCAACCTCAGCCTGGAACTATCTACTGAACAAGTTCACTTTCTGAACACCACAGTACAGCTACAAAATGGACAGATAAGCACCATACTATATCGCAAACCCGTGGACCACTACATGCTTCCAGTTTCTACCCTGAACACACCACTAGGTCCATAGCCTATAGCCAAGCCCTCCAATACAACCATATCTGCTCAGACCCACAAGACAGGGATGCTAAACTCAAGGAATTATAACAAGCATTCCTCTAACTACAGTACCCACCACATGAAGTGGGGGGAAAAGCAAATGAGGTGAGACGTGTGCTCAGGACTGATCTATTACAGAACAAATTGAAGAGGGAAAACAACAGAATCCCACTAGTGGTCACATACATCTCCCAACTGGGACCAATCAGGTGCATCATCAAGGAACTACAACCCATTCTGGACAATAATGCCACTCTTTCAAGGGCTCTTGGTGGCAGACCTTTACTCACCTACAGACAGCCTCCAAACCTCAAACAGGTATTCACCTACATGACACAGATGGTGACACGGGTACTAAGTCTTGCCACAAACCAAGATGCCAACTCTGCCCCCACATTTACCCAGGAAATGTCATTACAAGAACTAATGGCATCATCCACCATATTAGGGGGGCCTTCACATGCTCATCCTCCAATGTGATCTATGCTATAGTGTGTCAGCAATGACCTTCGGCTCTCTACATTGGACAAACAGGCCAGTCCCTGCACCAGAGGATAAACAGACATAAATCAGACATTAGGAATGGGAATACACAAAAACTGGTGGCAGAACATTTCAATATCCCTAACCATTCCATCTCAGACCTCAGAACAGTGGTCCTTCAACAAAAGAACTACAAAGGTAGATTGGAAAGAAAAACAGCAGAACTGGAATTCATCCACAAACTACAGTTCCTCAGCAGTGGACTGAACAAATATTTTTTTGACTCACTACAGACACTTCAATTCATCCTCACGGGAATTCATCTATTCCCCTCACCACAGGCTACTCCAGGGGTAGGCAACCTTTCCCCTTTAAGGGCCGAGGGACTTCAGCTCCCAGAAGCCTCAACCATGTTGGCCAATAGTCCCATGTTGGCCAATAGCTCCTGGGATTCTGGGAACTGAAGTCCCTCAGCCCTTAAAGGGGAAAGGTTGCTTACCCCTGGGCTACTCCCATTGCAAAACTGGATCTGCAAGTTCATCTCCATGCACAAAGATGATCATTAAAACTGGACCTGCAACTTCATTTCCATACACAAAGGATTTGTAATTTGAATTGACATCCTCACATACCAGTTGCATTTATTTATTTATTTATTTATTTATTTATTTATTTGATTTATATCCCACCTTTCTCCCTGGAGGGGACCCAAGATGGCTCACAAATAAAATGCGGTATGTCTGTGCCTGGCTTCCACTCCACTAAATGCATCTGTGAAAGTAGACTGAAGTCTATGAAAGCTCATGCTGCCAATTTATTTATTTCAGTTAGTCTCAAAGCTGCTACAAGATCCCTCTCTACATATTAATTATCAGTTATTACATCCTGGTACTACTCATACTTGTATTTATTCAAGATTGGCCACTTCATTTTAGAAATTCTACAACACATCTTCCATAGAGCTGCAGTTTGAACTACAAACTTAT